GTGATTCTCTTTTTTTTTTTTTTTTTTGAGAGGTTTTTTTTCACTATAGGGTGCGTGCGCTCGCCAGACAGAGAGAGAGACAGTGAGAAATCACCCCCAGGGGGGATGGCCACGCCACAATCCCTTCTCCATTCTCCTCTCGGGATCTTGGGCACACACGTACACGCGCCCAGCGTGGGTTTTAAGCCACTGGGTCCGGGATGTGAACCACAGTCAACTACATGGGAGTCCAGCGACATAGCCATTACGCTAACTGCTGGTTCCCCCCAGTGTGATTCTCAAGTCACCAGGTTGGGGACTTGAATCATGATTGGTCATGTAAGAGTCCAACACCTTAACCACCACACCACCTGCTGGTCCCCCAGGCATCAGTTTATTTTAAACCTCAATAGGCAGGTGAGGCTGAGAGCCCTGGCGATCAAGCAGAAGGAACTAGACAAAGACAGACACCCACCTGGTAGGTCTTGGTCTTCATCGCCATCACTGCATTGACAGGCACCATAAGGATCATCACAGCCACCCCGGCCAGGATGGAAGGACCCAGGTTCTAAGGGCAGAGAGGACACTCTTCGTCACTCACCAGACAGGAGCAAACAGACCTCACAACTTAAAGGGCAGTTCTACTCCTCGCAGGCTGCCGAGCGAGTTTGGGGCCAGTTTTGCCCAATGAGGGGTGTTGCAGATTTATTTCTGGGCATTTTTGGTGTCTGCCCATTCCCTTTAAGAACCTGCAGGTCCATGGGGGCTAGACAGTGGTGCAGCAGTGAGACACGGAGCTCTGTGAGGCTGACCGACATGGGATGGTTCCTGGTTCATGCCCACAGCCCTCTCTGAGTGCATGAGTGCACGGGGCACACCCGTGCACGGGATCCAAGCTGGTGGAGGCTGGGGGTGGAGCATGTCGAGACGTAGTCAGGGCGTTGCTTCTCTTTCTCACTCTCTCACGGAGTTCATAAACTCTTACAAAGCATATGCAAGTCCGCAATCCCTTCATCCAAAGCCCTTGGGACCAGATGAGGTTTGCAAATTAGAACTTTAGAATTTCAGAAAGGTCATAGGCACTAAGCTGGCCTGCCTGCTTATCTTGCCTGAGGTGCTTATGAGTTTGGCCATGGGCTGGCATCCAGGAACCTGGATTTCAGGAGTGGTTCCACCATTAACAGAACCAGTAAGAATGGCTTTCTGTGCCAATATTGTTCATGGGGACACTGCGGTTTCAAAGTTCTTTGCACCAAAATAAACTAATTCCATGTTTTTGTGACCATTTCGAAAACCCCCGTATGTGCTGAGTCCTCTTCCTGGCAAATCACTGAACCTGGCATGGTTTTGAGGATCCTGGCACAGGCTACGTGGCATAAGCCACGGACTTCATGACACTCCAGCATAGCACTCCATGATCAAACGCATAACATTTTTAGCAGCAAAACAGAAATGTTTACGTGGCAAGGGACCATCGAGATCGTAAGTAACTTGTCAGTTCAGTTTCGGTTTTGCCACCAAACTGGATAAGGAAAACTTTTGGTTTTCAGAGCCTTTTGATTTGGAGATGTGTAGATATGAAGTCTCGACTTGCTCTGTTATTCCATTTGCCAACAGGGAAACTGACGTGGAGAGATTACGTGGTCAGTGAGCCAGACAAGATACACATCTACATCTTTCCACTTCCTTCTAAGGTATTTAAGTAAAAAGAGACACTTGGAGAAGCTGACCCAGTCTGAAACATACATACAGAACCCTAAGATTATGTGACTTTCTTCCCTACGTATTCAGAAAAATAACAGTCACTCTCCCGAGCTCCTCTCCTAGTTCCAGAAAAATGCTGCTATTGCTCCAGACGGTTGCGTGGCTTCTACCAACAACCAACACGTTGTGAGGCTAAAATACACTGAGCGCACGCGTACCAGGTACTATCCCATGAACGTCACCGCCACTAATTCATTTAGTCGTCCCAACATCCCTATGTGAGAGGTAGCATTATCAACGATTTACAGATGAGGAAATTGAGGTTTAGAGACATGAAATAACTTGATCAAAGTCACAGAGCTAGAAACAGAAGCGGTGGGATTTGAACCCAGGCAGCCTGATTCCAGAGCCTATACCATCCATCATCCACTCTCCTAAGTGGTAGAATCCAAAGACATGAACATGTCCTTGATGGTTAAATAGAGAAATTCTGCTTTTGATTTCAAGCAGTGATTCCTAATTAAAAATGGATTTGTCCCGCAGGAGAATTTAGCAGTGTCTGGAGACATTTTGGGTTGTGAAAATGGGAAAGAGAAGTGCTCCTGACATCCAGGGGGTGGAGGACAGGGATGCTGTAGACATCCCACAATGCACAGGTAAGCGTCCACCTCAAAGAAGTACCTGGTGCCAAATGTCAACAGCACTGAGGCCGAGCAACCTCCTCCGGGCTGTGAGAGCAGGCAAGTTTCTTAATGGTTCATAAACCAATCCCAAAGGCAATTTGAAAAGTTCCAGGAATTTTTTTTTATCCATAGCAGCATTTTGGGGAAAGTAGACACCCCAAGGTATCTGCCCCAAAAGACACTTCTTTAGGTAGTTCAAGTCTGGTGTGTTTCCTTCTAAGTTTCATTATTAGAAACATTTTTATTCTTTTATTCCATAAATACACACACACAAAAATGCATACTACAGTTGAATGGACACCTAATTTGCTATGTGACTATTACGCACCAGGCCCCATTGAGGTTGCACCCACAGAGGGCACGAGGGTAAGTCGGCTGCTGTATGAAGCTAACACGCCACCAGGTGAGGAGATATGGTACACAGAACATGCAAAAACTATCTTAGAAGGTAAACCAGTGAATTCCTGCACTGACGGTACTAAGATCCTGCCTTTCTGAGACACTCCTCTGTCCCCTCAGGCCCGCTCCTACCTCTCAGAAGTGAACTTTCACTCTTACTTAATAAGCTCCCTTTTCCTTACACTATTGGCGTGTTTCATTCAACTGAAGCCATCCCGCAACATACACTGTGGCGAGCCAGCCAGGAGTCTACCTCTTTGGGTTACTGCAATCCCACAGTGAAGACTCATCTTCCCCTGAAGGAAAACATGAAGACACTGGGTAAACGGCCAGCCAAGGCCCTCACATGCCAAAGAGAAGAAATCGATGACTGAGGAAGCCTAGGGAGCTTCTCTCTGCCCCTGTCTGGAAAAGTCGTCATCACCACTGAGGAACCCCAGGTAACTCTGAACACCGTGAGTAAGCCAATTTTACTTCTTCTGGCTACAAGAGCTGCTTACACTGTTCTCCCTTCTTTTTCAGGAAACCCCTCCATGCAAACCACGACAGTTATGGGAACGGAGGGAAGAAGTATGAGCTATTTCACTCATCTTCTGGTATACCAATTTGAGAACTAAGTATTCTCATAAGAATTTCTAGTAGTTGCCAGTTGCCCAGTCCCCTTATGGGAAGAGATATACTGGCTTAGGTTTAGAACTCTGAGGATCATGATCATTCGAGATCCTCATAGGGTACCGAGCCACACAGATGGCCCAGTGTTCTGGACAACCAGGGAGGGCTAGAACAACATCTCCTATAAAAATACAGCTTAAGGACCCCTCTAAATTCCCTCATTGAAAACAGTATCCTGTAAGTCAAAAAGCTAGAAAAGGACTTGAACCCACTGTAAAAGATTTTTTAAAATCTGGGCTACCAAAGCCTTCTGAGTCCCTGCAATACTCCTAATACTGCCAGTACGTAAGCCAACTGAGGAATACAGGATTGTCCAAGACCTAAGGCCTCCAACCCAAATTTGACTAAGGACTGCTGGCTTTGTTTACACAGCTGTTCCTATTTCTATTTGGCTAGTGTAATGGCTCTTCACTCTAAATATGAAAGGTCCACATTTCCAGGTAATAAGTATTCAGGACTTGCAGGATTTTCAAATAACTGAATGAGCTGAGAAGACACTGGTAGGAAGGGCAGTTAATCTTCTTGGATCCTTCCAATGGAACTCAGAGACTGAGCACCCCAGTTCGGGACCTATAATGGCGATGATTCCCTTACACTTCCAGGCACATATCTGTGTTAAAAGAACTCATCATACAACCCCCAAATCACCACTAGGTGTCTTAGACCATGCTCTCTGTAATCATACTGCTTCACAAATCTGACAGCATTGTCAGATTCATGGGGAATCTGGTTAAAACTCTGAAACTGGTTCCTTTGGCTGTTGCCCTTCTTGGGACACCAGTCAATGCTAATTCTCACCCCTGTTTTGGGGTCCTGTCTTTTACATCTCCTAAGCAGGTTTATCTCTTCTTGCTTAGAAACTATAAATTTACAAATGATCATACAACAGGGATATCAACTCCTTGGGACCTCCACTAAATCCCACTGTAAGTCATCCAGCACCAACCACAGCCCTCGACAGCCCTCCCAAGGATATGTCGGGGTACTAGCTCAATGACCTGCCCCTGTCCCCGCTCTCCCACCTAAATCAGATAGGGTGAGAGGTCTATGATCCCCAATAGGTAGGGTCAACGTCCCTCTCCAGCATGAAGTGGTTACAGAAGACAGACCACCCACCTTCAGCTCCCCAAAAAGATATATGAGGATCATATCTCTCAACGGGAAAATGAGGCAGGAGAAAGCTAGCAAATGGAAGTGGGTCAGGGGGTGGGGTCTTCCCATTGGAGCTAGACAGAAAAACCCAATCAGGGCAGAAAATGTCTGACCAAGGTAATGTAGACAGGAGATGAGTAGGGGATGTCTAACTGATGAAGCCACACCTAATATAGACAATGAGATAAATCAGTGGGCCCAGCTATCTTTGATATAGACAATGAGATGGATCAGTGGCCCCAGCTACATTTGATAGAGTCAATAAGATGACCCAGCCAATGATCAACCCACACGACCTAGGTTAAAAATTATAAATTCAGCAGAATGCAACTGCCAGGGCCTTTTTGAATCCCTCCTTCTCTGTCCACTCAGGTCTGCTCCTATTTCTCAGAAGTATACTTTTACTTTTACTTAATAAACTACCTTTTCCTTACACTAAAAAAAAAAAAAAAAAAAAAAAAAAAGATAAGAAAGTTACTGGGACCAGCTGTTAGCGTAATGGCTATGTTGCTAGACTCCTATGTAGTCAACTGTGGTTCGAATCCTGGACCCGGTGGCTTAAACTCATGCTGGGCACGTGTGTGTGCATGCCCAAGATCCCAAGAGAGGAATGGAGGAGAAGGGATTATGATGTGGCCATTCCCCCTGGGAGGTGATTTCTCGCTTTCTATCTCTCTGTCTTTGTCTTTCTGGCAAACACACATGCCCTATGGCAAAAACTTCTCCAGGAAAAAAAAAAAAAGAAAGAATGAAAAAGTTATTAAGTTTCCTAAAGGAAGACAATCCAATTGGGAGAGGGAAAAATCCTGGTGGGAGCAGCATCTGTGGTAGCCTTGAAGGACAGTGGTACTCTGTCTGCTGGGAGGAAAGAGGGAAAGGAATTTCCGGTGGAAAGGTATAGGCAAAGGCTCTGAGGCAGGAAAACACTGGTATGTCATATCATGAGCCTCTTTAAAAGGCTCATCATCTTTTCATTTGAGAACTGTCCCTTTGCATATGGAAGAGATGCCAATCACCCTTCTTTTGCAATGGGAGAGAGCATGTGGCCCAGGCTGGCCAATCAGAGACTTCTTCCTGGGCTACTGCAATTGGTTCAGGGATGTCAGTAAGACTGAGCTAGGCCAATTGGAATGTTCTCTGGAGCTCTCGCTGAGGCCAAAAAAAGAATGTGGTCTTTTTCTCACCACCATCTCTAATCATGATATAAGAAAGCTCTGGAAGCCACTGGGAAAACTCCACTGAGAGTGAGGCCAACTCAGAGGAAAACAGGCCATGAAATGGCCAAAGAGAGAAAGACTGAGTCCTTAAAGCATTGTGCAATCTCCTGGATCCACCCATGCTTGAAACTAGACCCTTGAATTTTTCAGTTGCTCCTACTGAATTCCCTCTACTGCTTAGGCTAAGATGGTTTTCTATTCCTTGAAACAGAGAGAATCTTGGCCAACATAATTAGAGAACAGTAAAATAAAGTTTGCTTAGCATTTGAGAGGATACAGTGGGAGAAATAACAACTGTACACTGTAGACTATGATTTGTCAAGAAACAAATGCAAACACCAGGACATGGAAGAGTACACAAACCTAGCAACTCAGGGAAGGAACAGACTATCCAGGGAATGGTTAATGGACCAGAAAACAAACTGGGAGTGGCAGTGAGAAATGCCAGTGAGCAGCAGATGTTGTTTTCATGGATCCCACTCCCGGACCCCATCACCCTCACCCGGAAGTCCCTCCCTACATGTGAAGGGAACAATGTCAAACACACACCAGCCACAGGAGGTAGAGGGCAAGCATGACTTGCAGAGGGGCTGACCAGATCATGTTAATGTACGTGGCCAAGTCCATGAACCTCTGGGCGTCCACAGACATGAGGTTGACGATCTCCCCGACCGTGGAGGACTTTCTGGCTGAATTGGTGATCACCAGGGCCTGCGAGGCAAAGAAGAGGGGAAGGAACGGGTGAGTGTGGCAGGCGAGGAGCCCTGCACTGTTTCTTTAGGTTCAGGGAGAGGACGATGACCGTCCACAGTGGAAACGTCACGGGGCATCCTCCCCGCTGCAGGCTCACTATCGTGTCATTACTAAGCCCACACTTATCACACACTCACTGCCTCTGTCTTGAGCTCTATCGATTTGGAAGGGACTTTAAACTTCCTCTAAACCAGGCTTCGCTCACTGGCATGTGCACACGCGTCACCTGGGGCCTGTGTTCCAATGCAGATTCTGACTCAGCCTGTCTGGGGTGGGGCCTGGAGTCTGCATTTTTAACAAGCTCCCAGGGCGGGCTGATGCTGCTAGTCCTAGACCCCATAGAAGGACTGAAGGTCCTTCTCGGCCACAGCTTTCCTGATGTTTGGGGTGGGTAATTCCTTGTGAGGCTGTTCTGTACATTCTAGGATGTTTAGCAGCACCCCTGGCCTCTAACCACTAGAGGCTCCACCTCCAGCTGTGCCAACCACAAATGATTCCAGACATTGCCAAACATCCCCTGCAGAGGTGGGCTGCCCTGGCTGAGAACCACCAGTTCAGGCCACAGGTTCTTGCATGTGGGTGCATGCTGTTGTCTGGCTGTTTTAAAAACTCTGGCTGCTGGGCCTCATCTCAATAGTCTCGCCTGAGGCATGAGCTCCTCAGGACAGTCTCACTCAGACAGGGCTGCGAATGACCAGTCCAGTCCACTCTTCCACCAGACTGTCTCTTCCCAAGCATGGGCCAGGCAGCGCCTTTGCTACGAAAGGAGGGGGTCGAGAAGGGAATGTGGTTGCTTGGAACCTGGACATGCACAGATGCCTGCTATGCACTCTATCACATGGGCTGCACCTGCTCAGTTTAAATCCAGAGTGAGAACGCGCTCCACGTCAACGGGAGAACGCGCTCCACGTCAACGGGAGAACGCGCTCCACGTCAACGGGAGAATGCGCTCCACGTCAACGGGAGAACGTGCTCCTCGTCAACGGGAGAACGCGCTCCTCGTGAACGGTAAAACAAGGATCTGAACTTAGCTCTGTCTGTTGCCACGTCAATTACCCCACAACTGTGGTCACTCAGATCATGCTCACGCTATAGCTCCAGAAGTTGAGCTGGAAATCCCTCACTGGCCCTGGGCTGACCCAGCCAAGTCCCCACCAGTCCTGAGGCTGCGAGAAGAGATGCCCCTACCTTCCTATAGACGGCCCCGATGACGGCGGTCTTGATCCGCATGCCGCTGACGAAGCAGATGTGGAAGTACTGGTGCAACACCAGCGTCTGCAGGCAGGAGCACACGAACAGGAGCGCCGTGTAGAGGTAGCCCTGCCAGTCTGGGGCCTGCGCGTCGTTCACGAAGTTGATGAGCAACCTGTGAAGACACAGGGAGAGGCAGGACTTGAGTGTCACGTGTATCCATACACACGTGCAAGGAAAGCACTGCAGTGTCAGGACTCTCTCCCGAGCTGGATGAGGCTGCACTAGTGCTGCAAGACCACGGACGGAGGAAACGGGCCCACCTGGTGATCTGACTACAGGCGGCCCACGCCACTCACAGTGAACCCCTGCCCCTCGAGATGCCACATTGTTCTGACTTACTGCCAGTGAGTCGCCCAAAGGTGACCACATGGAGAGCGTAAGGGACAGAGATAAGGAGGTTTGTGTGGCCCCAGAGACAAGGAGGAGGTGGAAGGCAACCTTCACAGGTGTCCATGAGCTCCGCCTGCGTTCCCTGGCACTTAGTTCCTGAGCCAACCCCACATCCTCTCTGCTTTGGTGTAGAAAGAGCCTAGTGGGTTTCTGCTACTTGCGACCGAAGTGGCCTTACCTGAGGTAATACCTAAGCAGGCTAAAGCACAGGGTGTGGAGACAGAGCTGGGCTCTAAGTCCACCTCGGCGGGCCCCTCAGGTTCTGTGTAACTCAGGGGAAAGGTCACACCAAGGAGACAAAGGGGAGCCCCGCTGGGAGGGGAAGGGTCTTACTTTAAGAGCTCTGGGCCGGCAAACATCATCAGGTCGTGCAGGGCCTTAAACAAGAAGCTCATGAGGAAGTAGGGCCCGAAGGTCTTGTATAACACCTTAAACAGGGAGGGGTCCCGCTCCTTCTGGGGGGCCTTGAGAATCAGAGCCTCGGCCTCCTCGTTCACATCCAATTTGGAGCTCCCTTTCGGCTTCGCTGGGTCCTTGGAGGAGTACACGATCTTTACCGCCTGCCTGGAACACAAGGTGAAACAGTGGTGGGGTCCGGGAGAGACACAGCCCCTGCCCCAAGGAAGAAGGCCTGAGAATACCAAAGACAAGTCACCACAGAAGGGCAGCTTAGCACAGTGGTGATGAAAACAGACTCAGGAGGGGCAGGTTCAAATCCTGGCTTGGCCATTTGCCAGCTGTGGGACTCTAGGTACATTCCTTATATTCTCTAGACCTCAGTTCACTCACCTGTAAAATGCAGATAAAAATAGGTCCTACCTCGTGGGGCTTTCGCAAAATTAAATGAGTTAATACACATGATGGACTTAGAAAAAGTCCAACCCCAAACTTATTTATAGATTGAACACAATCCCCATCAGAATGTCAGCTGGCTTCTGATTTTGTAGAAATTGATGAATTATTAATAACTCTAAGTTTCATGTGGAAACCTAATAGATCCAGAGTAATAAAAATAATCTTGAGGAAGAACAAAGTTGGAGGACTCACACTTCCTGATTTAAAAACGTATTACAAAATAACAGCAATCCAGATAGACAGAACTCTTAACTCAGAAAGGGGAGCCGGATGGTGGTGCAGAGGTAAAACACGCCCTTCAGTGAGGCGAGCCCACACGGACAGGTTGCAGTTCAAGTGCAGAGACCTCCCTGCGTATGCTCAGGGACAGAAATTTATAAACCAGTGCAAAAGAATTACGAATCTAGAGACGAGTCTGAACGATTTACAAGGGAGCCAAGACCATTCAGTGGGGAAAGGTCAGGTTTTTCGAGTGGGACAGGAAGCTGGACAGCTACCTGCAAAAGGATGAAGTTGGACTTACATCATAAACAAAATTGACCTCAGGATGATCCAACCTAAGCACAGAGCTAAAACTATAAAATTCTTACACAAAACATAGGAGTGCATCTTATCTTCATGGTCTCAAATTGGCAATATAATCTTAGATATGATACCAAAAGCATATGCAACAAAAACAACGGATTATTTAGAGTTCATCAAAACAAACTTTTGTGCTTCGAAGGACACTACTAAAAAAGTGAAAAGACAACTTTTAGAATGGAAGATGGGGGACTAGCAGTTAGTGTAATGGCTATGTCACTGGACTCCCACGTAGTCGACCGTGGTTCGCGTCCTGGACCCAGTGACTTAAAACTCACGCCGGGCGCGTGTGCGTGTGTGCCCAAGATCCCGAGAGGAGAATGGAGGAGAAGGGACTGCGGTGTGGCCATCCCCCCTGGGGGGTGATTTCTCGCTTTCTGTCTCTATGTCTCTCTCTGTCTGTCTGGCGAGCGCACGCGCCCTACAGTGAAAATCTCTCCAAAAAAAAAGAATGTAAGATCTACAAATAAAAAATCTGATAAGGGACTTAATCTAAAACACATAAAGAATTCTTAAAACTCATAACAGGGGGCGGGGGGGCAGATGATTAAGTCGCTGGACTCCCACATGGCCGACAGCAGTTTGAGTCCTGGAACTGGAGGCTTGCTTTCTCATTTTCCTTCTCTCTCTCCCTACCCCTCTCTCTGTCTCTCTCTGGTGAGTGCACATGCCCAATAGCAAATTTTTAAATAAAATAATAAAAGAAACCAGCAGATGGCATAATGGTTACATCATTGGGCTCCCAGGTAGTCAACTGCGGTTCGAGGCCTGAACCTTAAAACTTGTACCGGGCGAGTGTGTGTGCATGCCTTAAATCCCAAGAGGAGACAAGGAGAAGGGACTGTGGTGTGGCTGTCCTCTCTGGGGAGTGATTCTTGTTTCTGTCTCTGTCTCTGGGGCAAGCACATGTGCTCCACAGCAAAAATCTCTCTTGAAAAAAAGAAAAAATAAATAATAATAAATAGAATTTAATTTAAAAAAAAAAACCTCATAATGGGGGGTTAGATGGTGGTACAGTGGTAAAACGCAAGCTCAGTGAGGCAATTCCACGTGGGAAAGTTGCCAGTTCGAGTGCAGACACCTCCCTGAGTACACTGGGTACACATGTGCCTGTGAGCCGCTGCTGGCTGGAGGATGGCGGTGGATCACAGCATCGAGGACTGGTGAGGGGTGCTGTCTCTCACACTCACTCTCACTCATGGGTAGGAGAAGTAAATTAAAAGACAAGACAAAACACAAAAGCCCTCAGAGTAAGGAGACAACTCAATTCAAAAAGGAGTAAGAGAGCTGAAGAGTGTTCTCTAAAGAGACGTGCACGAGGGCAGTAAGCACAGGAACGCTGCTCGGCACCCCTGGTCACCAGGGAAATGCAGACCCGAGCCACAGTGAGATACTATGTGGTATCTACTGTAGTCAGGAAGCCAGGAAATAAAAAGTCTCTGCAGGAATATGGAGAACACCAAGACACTGCGGGGAGTGTAAAATGAGGTAGCTCCTTTGAAAAACAGACAGGCAGTTCCTTAAAAAGTTAAACAGAGAATCACCAAACAACCTAGCCATTCTACTCCTAGGTATATACCCAAGAGAAATGAAAGCATACGGCCACATACGCTCTGTCAACAGATGTCCGTGGCAGCAATATTCATAATGGCCAAAAGGATGGAGACAACCCAAGTGTCTATCAACTGATGAATGCATAAAAAAATGGGGCATATCCACAACGGAGTATTACGTGGCCATAAGGAGCGAACGCTACACCATGCATGAATGAACCTCTAGGACATGCTGAGCCAAACAAGTCAGACACTAAAGGTCATCTTCTGTATGATCCCATATCCATGCAATGTCCAGAAGAGGCAAATCGATAAAGATAAAAAGTAGATTAAGGTTTGCTTAGGCCTGGGGTTAAAGGTCTAGTGGCACACGCTAAAAGACATGAGGTTTCTTTGTTGAGTGATGAGTTGTTCTAAAATTGACTACGGTGATGAACGCATGACTCTGTGAATAAAAACCAGTGAACTGCACATTTTAACCAGGTGAATTAGGCGGTGTATAAATTATTGGGTTGCCAGAAAAGTCATGATGTAGTTTTCTCTGCAAAAATGCATCATGAGTTTTCCAACAACTCAATGTATCTCAATAAAGCTGTTATTACAAAAATAGCAATCTTTATCTTATACAGAGTTTTTTAAGTGCCAGTGAAGTGATGAGCACTATACAATATTAATTGGTATTAGTTTTATGTCACAGCTAGAAGGAAATATAAAACATTGCGTGATTGAACCTGTTTGCTTTTCAGGTAGAATTCGAGGTTGAGCAGTTACATGGCTTGTCCAAAAGTCACGGAGATTTGACAGAACTGAATATTGGGTGCAACTTTGTTGCCATCCCCATGAAGCTCATGGTAGCCAGCCACAGAGATAGTCTCCAGCAAATCTCACCATGCCCCCTTGCAGTCCCTTCCCATTCAGAATATGATATTGCAGGAGTCAGACTATGGCACAGAAGTAACTAGGTCCAGATAGGAAAGGTCTTGGGTTCATGCCCCAGGGGCTCCACATACATAGTGTGTGTGTGTGTGTGTGTGTGTGTGCGCGTGCACGCGTGTGAGTGAGTGTACGCATGCACACACGCCTGTGATCTGAGCTGGCTGAGATGGGTTGGGGAAGATAGGAAGGTCCTGCTGGGGCTACCTCTCTTTCTCTGTCACTCACAAAAAATAAATAAATAAACTTTTAAAAATAAGATACTGGAGATGGGAACCAGCAGTTAGCGTAATGGCTATGTCGCTGGACTCCCACGTAGTCGACCGCGGTTCACGTCCCGGACCCAGTGGTTTAGAACTCACGCCGGGCACATGTGCGTGCGTACCCAAGATCCCGAGAGGAGAATGGAGGAGAAGGGATTGCGGCGTGGCCATCCCCCCCAGGGGGTGATTTCTCACTTTCTGTCTCTATGTCTCTCTCTGTCTGTCTGGCGAGCGCAAGCGCCCTATAGTGAAAACCTCTCAAAAAAAAAGATATGTATATATACATACACACATACATACATATATATACTGGGGATTAGTAGGTAGCATAATGGACTCCCACGCAGTCAACTGAGGTTCAAGTCCTGGACCTAGCAGCTTAAAACTCATACAGGGCACATGTACATGCATGTGTGTGTGCCCAAAATCCCAAGAGGAGAATGGAGGAGAAGGGACTGCAGCGTGCCCATTGCCCCTAGGTGAGTGAATTCTTCCTTTCTGTCTCTCTCTAGCAAACACACAAGCCCTATAGCAAAAATCTCTCTCTCAAAAATATATGTGTGTGTGTGTGTGTGTGTGTGTGTAAGAGTGTTGCTTTCGTGACCAGGTGTTCATCTTGCCCTCTCTTGGGATGTTCATACTCAACAAAACCAAATGCCATTATCATGCTGACACTCAATCTGTCCTATGGAGAAGCACCCATGGTGAGATCTCCCCAAAAGCCAGAGCTAATGTGCCAGTCATACGCTAACGTGCCAATCAGGAGCAGATCCGGTAGCCCCAGTCGAGCCGTCAGATGGTGCAGCCCCAGACTACACCATGACCTCAGCGTCACACAAGACCCTGAACCAGAACTGCCCAGAGAAACCATCTGAGATGGTAAGTGTTCATTCTAATTTTTGGTTGGTAAGTTTTGGGGTAACGTGTTAAGCTATGATAGATACCGAAAGGCCACTCTCCAGCTTTCCTCTACCTAGTCCAGTCAGAATAGTAACCTCATAGGGCTAAATGACCTCCTAGCTCTAGAGGTCAGAAATCAGAAGTGGACCCACAGGACTGGGGCCTTCTGAAGGCTCTAGGGGAAATCTGGTCTCTGCCTCCATCCCTGGCTCCTGGCCCTTTCTCCACCTTCAAAGCCAGCAGCGTGGATCCCTCTGATCTCCGTCTCCCTGTGATGACTACAGCCTCTGCCCCCAGATAAGTCAGAATACCCTCATCTCGAAATTCTTTAATTGCCAGAGGCCACGTACACTCATCAGAGATAAAGGATAGAGGACAGCACGACTGCATTCGTGCAGGGGAGAAAGCGCCCCCCAGTGGGGCATGGTGACATGACAATCTTTTTTCCTCTCCTCCGCCCCATGAGGATTCTGAGCAC